CATTCAATGTTGCAATGCAGCCCAGAACATACATCATCATCATCATCCCAGAGTGTGAAAGGGGTCTGGCGCTTCACACAGGAAGACTGCGCCAGCCCCACACATACACAGACGAAGATGAGGGGGGTTAGACGAAGAGGAGGGAAAGATGGGAATGCCGCCAACACCGAGTCTTCGGCACAGGCCCAAATAGTCCCTCGTCAAAGTGTCTGAATCCCAAATGTCGAGTCTGTATCCAATGTCATGAAGTCTCAGGTCATATCTCTCTCTCGTAGTCCACAGATACTGAGAAGTAGGCAGCGAGAGGGGGAGAAGAGATGGTGGACTTAGGAGAGGAAGAAGAAGTACTCTCTCTCTCGCTCAGTCCAGTACTAACCTGTGAAGCTGGCGCCTTGGTTGCAGGTACCTCGAAGATGGAGCTGGAGCCATGGTGCCACAGGTAAGTACCACTGGCCTCCGCCACTACCTCTCTCCTATATCACTACTACTACAGCGCCCAGCGCTGAAGACTACAGCTATGGCGCCCAGCGCCGAAGACTACACTAGCGCTAAGCTGCCCTTGAGCAGCGCTCCTCCGAGTGCTGCTCCGCTATCCTGAAGACTACCCTGACTACTGTCTGACTACCTCTCTACCCACCTGTGAAGTGCATGGGAACTTCCTATGTACTACGCGGGTGCCTCCTGACTGCAGGCGAGCAGTCCAGGAGGCTGCTCTTGCCAATGCCGAAGGGAGGCAGGGGCTGCAGCTGCAGCTCCTGCTCGAGCTGGCGTGTGCAACAGGCCAGAAATAGCCTGTTCCCGAAACCACAGTTTTCGTGCCTGAGTCTTAGGGCAGGTCGAAACAAATGAGGGCCTGAAAATGGCCCTCCGTTTCCCTATTTTCTAGGCTTTTAGGCTGAGAATGCGGAACGGGCCCTGCAGGCCCGTGTGGCTACGCAGTATGCCACCCCCCCCCCTACTTGAAAGACCGAGCTTACCTGCGAGGGCGAAGCTGTCTGTCTGAGGGAGGGACCACAGTCCGGGTGGGAGGGGCAGGTTTGCGAGGCTTCCTTACCTGGTCTTCGTCGGACGTAGCCGTCGTAGATCAGCGGTGCCGATGCTTGCAAATCTGCGAACTCGGTGTCCAACATGTCGAAGGACACGGCCTCGCGTACATGCGGGGCGAAGTACCCGAGGACGGGGTCAAATGCACCGGTCGATTGACTTCTGCGTGTGACCGTCGGCCAACGTGACTCGCTTGGGCTGCGACTTCCTCTGAACGCGTGGCCCCAAGCCATTGCGCACCAGAAATCTGTGGCCCATATAGTTGCGAGTGCTTCCGCAATCGATCAAAACGTTGCAGGTCGCCTCTCTGATCTGAATGCGTATGTATAGCAATGGTGCGTCGATGTCGTCGTACCGTCGCGTCTTGAACTCGCGGTCGATCTTTGCAATGTAGGCGTGAAGGTCGACAACCTCTACTCCGGCGTCCATCAACGGAGYTGGTACTGCAGTGTGCAAGTAGTCCCGCAATTGTGCCATGAGCACGTTGCAATGCGGTTTCGGCAATCGACCGGACCAGGGAAGGGGCATCCAATTGAAGTCCGCAAAAGTCAACGGGTCGAGCTCTTTAGTCTTGACCATGACGTTGAATCCCCGGCGGTAGATGGCGGCGAAGCTGCCGAATCGGTTGTCGATGGTGATGACACCGTGCATGCTGTGGATTGTTGCACGTGGAGTGGTTGGTCCAACGGTGGGACCAAGTGGACAGTGTAATCCTCTTAAGATTACCGAGGACTTGCGACATGCACCTCCTCCCCAGATGTGTATGGAGGCCGCTAGCAAGGCGGCCGAATCTGGCAGAGTGAGAGGTGGAGTCGCCTCACCTCCTGCGCAACTCAGTTTCCCGAGTTGTGGTACTGGTTGTCCATTTCCGGCCGGCGATGTGGTTTTCGCCTTCCCTTTTCTCGGGAGTTGTCGTTGCTTCGCGGATGGACAACGGCCACCTGATCTTCCTTACGTGATGCTTGGGTGGCTGCCGGGTCTTCCACAATGGTGTCCGGAATATCAAAGCAAGCTCGCTACTTGATTGAGCGGGTCCCCTGAATGAGAGGTCCGCTCCGATACCAAACTGTTGCATACCGTAAGGGTGCAGACAGAACAAGAACCGACCTCTCAATGCAAAGTACAAGATGGCGCAAACGGAAGACTTAGGGACCAATGATCCGATCAATCAATGTTGCAATGCAGCCCAGAACATATATCATCATCATCATCCCAGAGTGTGAAAGGGGTTTGGCGCTTCACACAGGAAGACTGCGCCAGCCCCACACATACACAGACGAAGATGAGGGGGATTACACGAAGAGGAGGGAAAGATGGGAATGTCGTCAACACCATGTCTTTGGCACTGTGATAAGCTCAGATCCGTACCGCGCGGCTTGCCGTATCCCTGAGGAAAAATCCCGCGGAAGCCCCGAAGTACGGACACGAACAGAAAGGGTTTTTTCTTTCTTTTTTGCTTTTGTTTTCTTTTTTTTTTAAACGACTTTTTCATTTTGTTTGGTTAATAACTTCCGCGCGGGCGAATAGCGGCCGCGGTATGAAAACCAAGAAACGGGGGCGGTTGGGACTTTTTGAATTTTTGCGCGCGCACGGTCCAGCTCCCTTTTTTTTTTCGCGCGTCTCACATCCCCATTTATTGCTTTGCATCCCCGCGCCATCTTCCCTTCTTACGGCGTGCGTTTCCCTCCAGCTGCACTCTTTATCTTCCCCTACACCCAGCTTGATTTTTACCCCGTCTTCCTCCGCGAAGTGATTGGCTGCGTAGTTGGGATGCTCGGATCAATGTGGGAAGCGGGAAACCGCGCACCACTTGGACGAACACCCCAATCACGTAGCCATGCAATCCCGTGGGTCGAACCCTCTAACTCCCCACCTCTCTCTCTCCTGTCTTGCTCATCTACACCTTGCGCTGCCCGCACCTCGCGCTGACAACCCGCCGCCTCCCGCGCTATAAATTTGAGCAACCCTCTCCTCTCCTCCTCTTTGATCTCAGCTGTAATGCTGCGCGAGCTATGCGCGAGAGTCTGCGGCGCCGAACAGCCTCGACGAGCCCAAGGACGGGCGGAGTGACGACGTGGGGTGGACCCCGCGGTAGTCTCGGGGCGAAGCAGTCGGAGGGACTGAGCAGTGGTGGGGATTGGACGCCGGTCGCGGCAGGGCCTTGTGGCTATGGTGGTTGGTGGTCCTGGGGAAGCTTTGAAGGCTGCGCCTGGGGGCAGCAGTTAATTGAAATTTTTGTGTACAAGAAGGACTCGCTTTTATCTCCATTGCTGCTTTGTCTATGCATGTCGTGTGTGTGAAGCCCCGAGTGACGGGAGCTGGTTGTGCGCATGAGTGATGTCGAAGGTCCATGGATGATTAGATGTCCTGTCAAGGGTTGTTGATTGCATGCATGTATGTGTGCCTGTACTCGTCCGGGCGGGGATGGGGAAACTGAACTRGGGGACCGTCTGCTTAGGAGTATGAGTGTGTTGATCCGGTTGYTCCCCTCCCCTCCGCGGCCTTTCCTGCGCTCTCGYGCGGTCTCGGCGTAACTCACTCTCTCTCTCTCCCTTTCTCGATCGCCTTCCTTTTGAACTGATAGTCATCGCTTTTAGAACTTCTCGTCCCCGTAYCGGTGACGTCAACCGCCTGCGTCCGCGCGGAYGGTTGACGCCCCCGCAGAGGSAGAGAGAGCTTAGATTCCGTCACCTTCCCCCGACGCACCCACTTTTGAGAGAGAAGAGTTGCGTCGATTGTTGTATGGATTCGTGGTTCGGATGAWCGRGAACGCGGGATCTTGCCCGTGTTCATYGCGTACCTCCGATCGTCTCATCTCGCTACCAACCTTCCCCATCACAGATGAGGACARCGYCTACTGCGATGCGGACGTACGGCRCACACTGAGACGGAYGGAGCAAGTGTGTTGGCAAGACCCGCCTCGGGCTTCTGAGATAAGGGGAAGCGGGTTTGTTTTGATTGATCGTTTTGATTCCCCGACTCTGATATTGCCTTATACGGGTTTGACGGTGTTGCCCTGGTCGGCCGCTCACGCCGCGTGGCGGCCGTAGTTTGATTGCCGCTGGTGTCGCCAGGGGGACTCGTGCTCTTGGCGACAGCTGGTCTTGGGCTACGAGGGAGCGACACGTTTCCCCGAGCTGCCCCGCGCAATTTCGAATTCAGATGCCGGCGAGTCCTCCCGCCGCCTTACCCTCCCGAAAACTTTCACGCGGACTCTGTGAGTCTGACGTCGAGGCTTGAAGGCCTCGAACCAATCACCTCCCCCAGCAAAGACCTGAGGGTTCGGCCACCTTGTGAGGCCGATGATGAAGCCTGAGGGCTTCGAACCCACCACCTATCCCCCAAACCCCTGACGGCCGAAGTCTTGTCTTCCGCCGCCATGGCCCTCTCCCCTTGATGCCTTTTCCCGTCCCGATGCACGACGGCAGTTCGTTTTTTGCGGAAACCTTTTTGATTTTATCGTTTCAGAGTGATCCGACCCCAACGGGACTCCACGACGACAATTCGACTCCGAGAAAAACCTCGGCCACGAAACGAGGGTCTCCCGTTCCGTCCGGGAGACTCAACCCTTACGACAAAAAATCCTCCGCCACGCCCCTCCTAGAACTCTGATCGGCGACCCCGTACGGGAAGCCGCAAGGGGGCGTGAGGTTGGTATCAGAGCTGATTCGTTTTGGCTCCGAGGTTTTCCTAGGATGATTGCCCTGTTTTAAAGTTTTTTTTTTTCTGATCTTTTTTTTCGGATTTTTCTCATTTTTGGTAGTAGGCTGGCTCCCCGTCGACGGAGCCCCGCGAATAGCAGTCAGAACCGAGCGAGAGGGCGGGCTCGAAACCCGCCTCCGGTAATGGTGGAACCCGGAATTGGGGGTGAAAACGACGGTGATAACCACGCGGGGATGGCCAATCATCCCCTGTATTTTGTACCTCCTCCCTCCGAAGTTCCCATTTTTTCTGAAGATGACACCGACCCTCGCACCTGGCTAGCTGCCTTGAAAGCCCAGGGCTGGTCGGATCAGTTGCTCCGAGAACGAATTCTCGGAAGATTAGCCGAAACCGCTTTTGAGTGGTATGGACAAAATCCCTTCACTAATTGGGCGGCCTTTTAGAGGAAATTTCTTGATAGATTTGATCACATCGCACCAGGTCAATGCCTCCGTTTAATAAAGGAATACACACAGCAGCCTCTGGAGACCTTGGCTAGATATCCTGAACGTTTTACGTACCTAGCCGAACGCTGCGGGGTGGATGAGAAAATGGTACGGACTGATTTCGTCAGAGGACTGTCAGATTCTCGTATGCAGAAAAAGATCCGCGAGAAATGCAACCCTATAGAACATACATTGACGGAGCTAATTCAGTACGCAATTCAGTATGGGAAATAAAATTATGATGCGGGCCTGGACTCAGAATCCGACGAAGATGACCCTTCAGGTGTTCGACGCAATAGCTATTTCGCTACGGAGTGAATGTTCGAAGATCGCTTCTGGTTGGGTCCGGCAAAAAAGGCTCGGATCGGAAAGCTTTTTCCTCTGCTTCGACCTCCCGTCACTCTAGTCAAACCCAAGGAGGCCGGGGCGAGGAAGAAGTATCCATGAAAGAGGTCGCGGCCCAATTAGTTACGGTAGTAGCCACGTTGACGGAGTTTGTTCAAGGTCTGCAACGACAACGCATAGCCGCCGCACAACGGCAACACGCGGCTATGGCTGCCGGAGCCCCTATGATAAGACCGACCGTGGTCGGGGCTGTCCCACCCCTACGCTGTTATAATTGTAATCAGCCACGCCACCTTGCAAAAGATTGTCCGAAACCTCGAACTCAGGGCGGGCCCATCGGACCTTCCAAAATCTTGCTGGCTGCTCCCACCGCTGCAGGACAGGGGAGGGTAGCCACGATAATGGACACAGGAACGACGGAGATGGTGACCCCTGCAGCCACTGAGATAGGACCCGATGAGTATATGGCCGCAGCGATGTTCGAACCCGGGACCATCGGAGTGATACGACACGTCCAACGGATTACCGAGGAAAGCGACCTCGGACCGTGGCGACCAGGATTCGAAGATCTTGCGGTGCCTGGTCCTGAATACAAGGATGGCCATATCGATGTATTTGATGCCTTGAAGGCTCTGGATCTACGGATCCCCGTCCCTATTCCCTATCTGCTAACCATTTCCGAAGCATCGAATGAAAAATTGATCAAATGATGCCTCAAAAAACAGGCACCGATTCGAGGAAAGTCGAAAGGGCAAAAAGTCGGTCCTCCGGGACCCACCCACAAACGAGGAGTCACAACCCTCGACCTCAGAGTTGCACGAAGCCAACCGACTAGGGATGATCCAGACCGTAGATTCCGCCTCGGAAAAACCCGAGGTATTCCTCTGGCCTATCCTATAACCTGGAAAAGCGTAGAGTGTGACTGTGAGGTGTGGGGAAACCCCCCGGTCGCCATCCTAGACTCGGGATCATTAGCAGTCGCCATTTCTTGGAGACTGACGAAATGATTGGGAAGGGAAGATTAGGTTCAGCCCCTCCGACCGGATGAACTGTTTATATCTGCCACGGAAGATAGCATTCGTTGTAAGGGGCGGATAACGAACGTGCCTATACGGGTGGGGCGGGTGCATTGTTTGTGCGACGCAATCGTGCTGGATGTACAGGCGTATGATGTTCTGCTAGGCATTCTGTGGCAGGCGGCGATCGGAAAGCGAATGCACTTTGACAGCATCGGGTGAGGCCCCAAACAAAGAGTTGTCGGTTTTCGTCGAAAGGACAGTCGCAATAAGTTGACTGTCCGCTGGACTCCAAACCACAAACGATACCAATGAGATTGGCGGTGCGTATGCGCACACAACCGGCACCTCGAATCACCACGAAAGTCCATCAAATCAACATGATCCGACGCCTGTCACCAGACAAAAATGACACCTCGTCGAGAACTGACGAGACTGATGTACCCGACCAATATCCGATCCGGGTTCAGGATCGGTGGCGCCACTCTTGGCGGCGAGAACCCCTGGAGAGATAGTTCGGAGCGAGGGCAATTGGTCGCACGCGTTCTCCTCCGTGGTACAGGGGGAATATCTGCTGAGGGTGTCCCAAATAGCTGACTTTTTGGAACCCCCTGCGTCCTTATATCTCATAACAAACCCCCTACCTGAAAGATTTACCGAGCTGAGGGGGCTGTGCGATTTATCTTTTCGACCTCCACGGCCCCTACTCACGAATGAAAAAGCCGCGATACTCTTGAAAGAGGGGGTGTCATTTCAACACCGGACAAGGGAATATCGGTGGGGACCGAGGGAACGGGCGCAAGCCTTTTCGGTAGAACCCTCGGCCGAACCCAAACTGGACAGTGACAATGACATGGAAAGTGCGGCGGTCCCCACGGTTACGACGACGGTCTCCCTTCCTGGGGGAACCGTAAAAGTTCAATTACCAGCCCGTGTTCCGGATGAATATAGACGCCTCCTCCTGGCGGTTATACGGGTCTATCCTGAGGCCGCCAGTATTCAGGACCACGACACATGGCTAACCCCTTTGATACAGCACGCGATTGATACCGGGGATCACGCCCGATTCATTGCCGACCGTACCGATATTCCCTTAAAGAAAGACAGCTGGCATTGGAAAGGGTACGGGAATTTGAGCGGTTGGGGTGTGTTGAACCATCACTGGGACCGTGGTCTTTTCCCTTGGTCCTCGTGCCAAAACGAAATGGTTCGGTCCGGGTATCTATCGACTATCGGAAATTGAACGCTATCACTACCAAAGATGTGTATCCCTTGCCGCGAATCGATGATTTGTTAGATGCTATCGGGGTCGCTCGAGTCTTTTCCAAGTTCGATATCCGACACGGTTTTCACCACGTCGCAGTCCGACCGGAGGACCGACCCAAAACCGCTTTTGTCCTATTTGAGGGCACGTGGCAATGGGTCCGGTGTCCCATGGGAATTTGTAACGCCCCTGCAACGTTTCAGCAGGCCATGAATATGGCCTTCACTGAGTTCGTTAACAAAACCCGACTAACCCAGCCCCTGATCAATTTCTGCGTGATTGTGTACATGGATGATATTTTGGTCTTTTCAAAAACACACGAGTACCACGTGGAACACATTGAGTAGGTGTTGCATGCACTGAAAGATGCGGGGTTCAAAGTGGCCTTGGACAAAAGCGAGTTCTTCTTGTCGGAGATCTCATTCTTGGGGTACATCGTCACGGTCGATGAACTAAAACCGGATCCGAGGAAGGTGGCAGCAATTCAAGAAGCCCCGACGCCGGTCACACTCACCCAGGTTTGGACTTTTCTAGGGCTGGCATCCTATTACCAACGCTTCATCAAGGGGTTCGCCGGTGTAGCGAAGCCCCCCACGAACCTGCTGAAGAAAGAGGAGCAGCTGATCTGGACGCCGGAATGCGAAGCGGCATTTCAGGCGTTGAAGGAGGCTCTGGCATCTGCTCCTGTGTTGGCGCGTCCCGACCCGACAAGACCGTTCGCATTGTACACCGACTGGCAGCCGCAGGCGATATCGGCGGTGCTGACTCAGCACGGGGTGGACGGAAGGGAACACGTCATTGAGTATGCGTCCAAGACGCTGAGCCAGGCGCAGGCTAATTACGAAGCATGCAAAGGCGAATGCCTGGCGGTGGTGTGGGGGATTCAGCATTTCCGACCGTATCTGTACGGCCAGAAATTCGTGCTGGTAACGGGTCATCAGCCGTTGATGTCCCTACGCAACAACACAGACTACACGGGGACGCTGGGAAGGTGGGCGGTGCGTCTGCAGGACTATGACTTCGACATCCGCCACCGTCCCACGCGGCAGCATGGCAACGCTGATGGATTGGCGCGCCTCCTGCCGCCCAACAAGTGTCCCGCCAACGAGCGACTCATTCCGTGGAGGCCTGAAGCGGCGACTACGAAACCGCACTACGGGGAGCTACACGTGCTGCGTAAGAACGACGCCTGAGTCCGGAATGGAGGTTTCACCGGAGATGGCAGACGCTATCTCTTTGCCCTCATCCAACTCCTTCGCTCTCTCGTCTAGCCCCAACTCGTCCCTTGAAACACATCTAAGTCCTTGTTTCTTTTGTACCTTGCTTATGATCCTGGACCAAGAAGGGCCACATCCGGGAGGGCCCAGTTTTCTTTTATGGGTACAGTGTAGTCAGTGTCATACGGTCAAATCTCACGGACAGTGCGTTAGGTACCGAAGTGAAAAGACATGGGTCTGTCCCAACTGTAGAACGGACCAAGTTCCTACCTAGAAGCGGTATCTAGACGCTCGAACAGCCGACGGATTTGTGCCAAGTGCCCGTCGGGCAGAAGTCTGGACGGACCTTCTATTGCTACGGAGGCTGTCAGGCAACTCGCTGTCAGAACTTACCAAAGTCGAGCGGCAGAGAGTCACGGAACGGGCGCAGGACTATCGCTGGCAGGGCCCGACGTTATAAAAATGAAAGGTCGATGACGATGGATAGTCTAGCTGGTTGACGGTTCCACACCCTCTTGCTAGGTTCGATTGGACACGAGCCGCTCATGAAGAGGATGCGGTCCATTTCGCGGTCAAGTACACGGAAAAAGTCATCGAAAAGAACGGATGGTACTGGTCGGGAATTCGGGAAGATGTGAAATACATCGTTCAGAATTGCCCGGCCTGCGCGGCGGACAAGGCACCGGTACAGATGCCTCGGACGATGGTGCCCACTCGTGTAGAGCGCCCCTTTCAGAGGGTTAGCATCGATACGACGGATATCAACGTTCTGAGAGGTCCCGTCGATCAGGGAGAACTCAATGTTTTTTTAGTAGCCGTCAATCATTTTTCAAAATGGATCAAGGCGTACCCTATGACCAGCCAGAATTCGCAAGAGGTAGCATGGTACGTAAATCGATTTTTGTGCATGCATCTAGACGTAGAGGAGGTACACATGGACAATGGTCGGAATTTCAAGACGAAGTAGAATGTCACCTAGTCAGGGCAGACGTTAAGATTATCTACTCGCCGGGGCATTGGCCTCAAGCCAATGGCCTGGTAGAGAATGCCAACCGACTGATTAAGACCGCCCTTAGACGGAATATCACTGCTGGAGACATCCGGCCCTGGCCTGTCATTGTCGATCACATCTTGGCTGTATATCGGGCTACCCCACACGGTAGTACTGGGGTGTCCCCCTTTCAACTGAGAACCAATAGTGTTCCTCGGGTGCAATTCTCCCTCTTTCAGGATTAGAGTTTGTAAAAAATGTTTCAAACTGCTGTTTTGGAGTCCAGTCCCCTCCGAAGTTTACATTGCACCTCCGTCGCATGGCTGTCTTTTCCCGAGTTTGTAACTGCAGTCTTCCACGTCGAAAGGGCAGGCCTTTTTCCAAAAAAAAAAAGAAGAAACAAGAAGAAAAAAAGAAAATATCCTAGTAGGTACGGAAGTTAGAGCAACACGGGCCCAGCACCGGGATAAGGCCCGCCACTACATGGACTTAATGGCTAGGGTCTATCTCCCTTTATTTCCCATTAGCTCGCCCTCAATAGCAGGCCATAGATCGAACGCATCAACGGCAGATCCGTGACTACGAGAATCGGCACGTGTCGGCGGGACCACTGCCCCGCTATAAAGTTGGGGACTTAGTGCAGGTATGGAAATCCGCGTGCTCCTCCAAGATCCACCCGCGCTACACGGGCATTTACGAGGTAACGGAAGTTGGCGCACAGGGACTGCACTCCGTGAAGCTGATTCCCCGTCACAACTCCCAAGCCCGACCGCTAACCCGGCACGTTGCCGCGCTCTGGCCCTTCCATCCATCACTAGGTCCCACACGGACCCCCGCTCCGGCGAGATCGCCCTCTCCTTCTTCTTCCTCCTCCTCTTCCCGATCTGCCTCGTCCATTGGTGCTGAAAGCTTCAGGGAGCAGGATGAACCATCGCCAGCCAGAGCATGAAACCCTCGAGCATTTCCAGACGCCGCTTGCAGATCGCTTTTTGCGGCATCGGTTCAATGAGGAAAGACAGCTGCGGTACGACATTCAGCAGGTGAACGTGCCAGCGCCCGGGATTGCTGATTTGGCGGCGTACTCATTGCTTTGCGAGCGGCTGACGTATGTGGGGGTGTACGTGGACGTGATGCAGTTGCTTGGCCGGGAGACGACTGGAGTGTTCATCGAGTTCCGCGCGCTCTAGGTGGCACCCAACTTCGTGCATAGCGTCGCCACTTTTATCGGAGACTTGACGATCCTGCTGCAGCCGAATCGGGAGACGGCGTGAAACGTTTGCGCGAATACGCGATGGAGGCGGCCAGATCCGTGGCCAGATTGCAAGGACGGGGGGGGGCACCGATTCACAGCCCACGAAGTGCTACTGCGCAGGGCAGAGGATGAACCAATTGCGCTGGTGCCATAGCTCCCCGTGCTCCTTCCTCCCGTTGCCCCTCTCAACTTCCAAGCTATTCCCCCTGTCCCGTACTAAATGCCTCCCTTCTTCTCTTACACCACCCTCCCCTATCAGCTCACGGAGGGCCCTTATCCTATGCGCGAGTTCTCGGAATACTTGGTGGAGCTAACTGACGCGGAGCCGCTGCCCTTCGCAGACGAAGACGTGTGGGAGTTGCACCGGGCGCTGTACAAGTCGATGGCGTTGGGGATGTTCCGATTCTTCGTGGATCACGAAGACCAGTGCATCGGGGAGCACTTCGTCGTCTACTACGTCATCACACGGCCCAAGCAAGCAGAGAAGGAGGGAACGGTGGCGCTGTACCCATTCGCCCAGCTCCAGACGATCGATTCGGGATTGTTGGAGCTCATACACCTTGAGCTCCTCTCCATTGTGCAGGTGATCGCGAGCGAGGAGGAGGAGATCCAACCCCGATTGCGGGCAGCGACGGCCCCACGGAGAACGTACAACGCAGTCGTCATCTCGGATTACATAGCGCACCGCTTGGAGAGGTTGGAGGACTTCCCGGAGGAAAGGCCGTTGCGGCCTCCCTCGTCGTATCCCCAACCGTCGCCACCGAAGGCCCCCAAGAAGACGCCGAAGAGGAAGAGACGCCACCCATCGCCAGGGGCGCAAGGCAGCAGGATCGGCGGCGGCGAGGAGGTGATTCAGTCCGCACGTCCGCGGAACCCGGACCCCGTGCCTGGGAGTGCGGCGACTCTTGTTAAGGAGGTTGTCGTGCCATCGCCGCCCTTTCCGCGTGTGCCCGATCTCAATCTTGATGGAGTCGGGCCGTCATCATCAGCAGCAGCCGGAGGAGGAAGCCGAATGGGATTATCGGATCCCATATCCAGCCCCGTCCTTGCGGGACCTCTCCGTTCCCGCCAGCCACCCCGGGGTGCCCCTGTCATTGACATTAGTAGTTCATCCGAGCCGGTTGATCCATCCGACAGAGGTGGACTTTATGGTGGAGCCCGCCACCATCAGGCTCGAGGCCATCGCGGGGGCGCCGCGCCCTGATCCGGCGTGGGAGCCATATATGACACCCCCTTTTCAAGGGTGTATTGCGGCGTGATTGGCTGGGGCGCTCATCTACGAGACCTCGCAGCGTCCCAATGCGATGTACCACCTCCTTGTCTCCGCGGCGCAGAAGCGGGAGCGGCGGCCTTACACCAAGACTCATGTGGTGATGACGGGTCTAGGGCCCCGATCGGTGCGCAAGCGGGTGGTGCGAGCGGTGGCGGATCTGGCGCCACGTGTCCTGTCTCATGTGTCGGGGGCTTTCCTTTACCCCTCGTTCGTCCAGCATCACTTCCATGAGGAAGATGAGCCGACGACTCCCGTGGCAATGGCCTCTTTTCTTCCACCTATTCCGCCCCCTCTCAATCCCGACATAGATCACTTCCTCTGATCACCCTCGTCTACCTCTCCCCTGTTCTCACCTTCTCCTTCTCTTCATTTTCTTCTTCTTCTCCTATCTCCAAAGTTCGCGCGTTGAGACACGCTGTGTATAAATATATATATATATATATATATATATATATATACTTACCGATCCGGCCAGCTGACGATGAAGGGGCCACCCGATCGAATGTATACTATGGGAGGAGACGATGGAGGATGCGGGATGCATCCACTTAGATTAGGAAAATAATCGGGCCAGCTGACGATGAAGAGGCCGCCCGATCATCCAAGATATGATGACATCAGCAGTCGGGAGACTGCTAATTTTTTGGAACCCCCTGTGTATCACAGATGTGATAAGCTCAGATCCGTACCGCGCAGCTTGCCGTATCCCTGAGGAAAAATCCTGCGGAAGCCCCGAAGTATGGACACGGACAGAAAGGGTTTTTTTTCTCATTTTGCTTTCGTTTTTTTTTTTTTTGAAACGACTTTTTCATTTTGTTTGGTTAATATCTTCCGCGCGGGCGAATAGAGGCCGCGGTATGAAAACCAAGAAACGGGGGCGGTTGGGACTTTTTGAATTTTTGCGCGTGCACGCTTAAGCTCCGATTTAATTTTCGCGCATCTTGCATCCCCGTTTCTGGCTTTGCATCCCCGCGCCATCTTCCCTTCTTACGGCGCGCGTTTCCCTCCAGCTGGACTCTTCGTCTTCCCCTACGCCCAGCTTGATCCTTACCCCGTCTTCTTCCGCGAAGTGATTGGCAGCGTAGTTGGGATGCTTGGATCAATGTGGGAAGCGGGAAACCGCGCACCACTTGGACAAACACCCCAATCACGTAGCCATGCAATCCCGCGGGTCGAATCCTCTAACTCCCCACCTCTCTCTCTCCTGTCCTGCTCATCTACACCCTGCGCTGCCCGCAGCTCTCGCTGACAACCCGCCGCCTCCCGCGCTATAAATTTGCGCAACCCTCTCCTCTCCTCCTCTTTGATCTCGGCTGTAATGCTGCGCGAGCTATGCGCGAGAGTCCGCGGCGCCGAACAGCCTCGACGAGCCCAAGGACGGGCGGAGTGACGACGTGGGGTGGACCCCGCGGTAGTCCCGGGGCGAAGCAGTCGGAGGGACTGAGCAGTGGTGGGGATTAGACGCCGGCCGCGGCAGGGCCTTGTGGCTATGGTGGTCGGTGGTCTTGGGAAGTTTTGAAGGCTGCGCCTGGGGGCAGCAGTTAATTGAAATTTTTGTGTACAAGAAGGACTCGCTTTTATCTCCATTGCTGCTTTGTCTATGCATGTCGTGTGTGTGAAGCCCCGAGTGACGGGAGCTGGTTGTGCGCATGAGTGATGTCGAAGGTCCATGGATGATTAGATGTCCTGTCAAGGGTTGTTGATTGCATGCATGTATGTGTGCCTGTACTCGTCCGGGCGGGGATGGGGAAACTGAACTRGGGGACCGTCTGCTTAGGAGTATGAGTGTGTTGATCCGGTTGYTCCCCTCCCCTCCGCGGCCTTTCCTGCGCTCTCGYGCGGTCTCGGCGTAACTCACTCTCTCTCTCTCCCTTTCTCGATCGCCTTCCTTTTGAACTGATAGTCATCGCTTTTAGAACTTCTCGTCCCCGTAYCGGTGACGTCAACCGCCTGCGTCCGCGCGGAYGGTTGACGCCCCCGCAGAGGSAGAGAGAGCTTAGATTCCGTCACCTTCCCCCGACGCACCCACTTTTGAGAGAGAAGAGTTGCGTCGATTGTTGTATGGATTCGTGGTTCGGATGAWCGRGAACGCGGGATCTTGCCCGTGTTCATYGCGTACCTCCGATCGTCTCATCTCGCTACCAACCTTCCCCATCACAGATGAGGACARCGYCTACTGCGATGCGGACGTACGGCRCACACTGAGACGGAYGGAGCAAGTGTGTTGGCAAGACCCGCCTCGGGCTTCTGAGATAAGGGGAAGCGGGTTTGTTTTGATTGATCGTTTTGATTCCCCGACTCTGATATTGCCTTATACGGGTTTGACGGTGTTGCCCTGGTCGGCCGCTCACGCCGCGTGGCGGCCGTAGTTTGATTGCCGCTGGTGTCGCCAGGGGGACTCGTGCTCTTGGCGACGGCTGGTCCTGGGCTACGAGGGAGCGACACGTTTCCCCGAGCTTTCCCGTAGYGCGGGGGCGCTGCCCGCGSAATTTCGAATTCAGATGCCGGCGAGTCCTCCCGCCGCTTTACCCTCCCGGAAACTTTCACGCGGACTCTGTGAGTCCGACGCCGAGGCTTGAAGGCCTCAAACCAATCACCTCCCCCAGCAAAGACCCGAGGGTTCGGCCACCTTGTGAGGCCGATGATGAGGCCTGAGGGCTTCGAACCCACCACCTATCCCCCAAACCCCTGACGGCCGAAGTCTTGTGTTCCACCGCCATGGCCCTCTCCCCTTGAAGCCTTTTCCCATCCCGATACACGACGGCAGTTCGTTTTTGCGGAAACCTTTATGATTTTATCGTTTCAGAGTGATCCGACCCCAACAGGACTCCGCGACGACAATTCGACTCCGAGAAAAACCTTGGCCACGAAACGAGGGCCTCCCGTTCCATCCGGGAGACTCAACCCTTACGGCCAAAAATCCTCGGCCACGCCCCTTCTAGGACTGTGATCGGCGATCCCGTACGGGAAGTCGCGAGGGGGCGTGAGGTGCGTATCACAGCACAGGCCCAAATAGTCCCTCGTCAAAGTGTCTGAATCCCAAATGTCGAGTCTGTATCCAATGTCATGAAGTCTCAGGTCATATCTCTCTCTCGTAGTCCACAGATACTGAGAAGTAGGCAGCGAGAGGGGGAGAAGAGATGGTGGACTCAGAAGAGGAAGAAGAAGTACTCTCTCTCTCGCTCAGTCCAGTACTAACCTGTGAAGCTGGCGCCTTGGTTGCAGGTACCTCGAAGATGGAGCTGGAGCCATGGTGCCACAGGTAAGTACCACTGGCCTCCGCCACTACCTCTCTCCTATATCACTTCTACTACAGCGCCCAGCGCTGAAGACTACAGCTATGGCGCCCAGCGCCGAAGACTACACTAGCTCTAAGCTGCCCTTGAGCAGCGCTCCTCCGAGTGCTGCTCCGCTATCCTGAAGACTACCCTGACTACTGTCTGACTACCTCTCTACCCACCCGTGAAGTGCATGGGAACTTCCTATGTACTACTCAGGTGCCTCCTGACTGCAGGCAAGCAGTCCAGGAGACTGCTCTTGCCAATGCCGAAGGGAGGCAGGGGCTGCAGCTGCAGCTCCTGCTCGAGCTGGCGTGTGGAACAGGCCAGAAATAGCCTGTTCCCGAAACCCAGTTTTCGTGCCTGAGTCTTAGGGCAGGTCGAAACAATGAGGGCCTGAAAATGGCCCTCCGTTTCAGGCTGAAAAGCCCTGATATAGGCTGAAAACGAGATAGGGCCTGCAGGCCCTCGTTTTCAGTTTCAGGCTGAAATGACAGGGGGCCTGTAAGCCCTATTTTCTAGGCTTTTAGGCTGAGAATGCGGAACGGGCCCTGCAGGCCCGTGTGGCTACGCAGTATGCCACAGTGTGTGTGTGTGTGTGTGTGTGTGTGCGCGACTTTCATAACGGCAGGGAGGGAATGAATCTTCCCGCTACTGCGCGACTTTCAAAAATGGCAGGGAGGGAGTGAACTCCCGCCCTGCCATTTTGAAAGTGGCATGCAGAGAGAGAGAGAGAGAGAGAGAGAGAGAGAGAGAGAAAGAGAGAGAG